ACTGATGCTTTCAAAATTCAGTGTTTGAGAAGACTCCTGAGAGTCCCTTGGATTGCAATGAGATCAAACCAGTCAATCCTAAAGGAAATCACCCCTGCATATTCATTGGAAGGACTGAGGCTGAAGCTGAAGCTGAAGCTCCAATACTTTGGCCACTGATGTGAAGAACTGATTGATTAGAAATGACCCTGATGCTGGGAAAGACTGAGGAGAGGAGGAGCGGGGGACGACACAGGATGAGATGCTTGGATGACATCACTGACTCAATGGACATGAGTTTGAGCAAACTCTAGGAGATGGTGAAGGACAGGGAAGCCTAGGGTGCTGCAGTACATCAGGTCGCCAGGAGTTGGACATGACTGAACAACTGAGCAACAACAAAGCAAAACCATACCCTTCTGTTTTTGTGCAAATATATTCACCAGTGCAACAAAATGAACTTGTTACAAGAAATGGTAACTCACTCTAATATTCCTGATTGGAGAATCCCCATGGTCAGACAAGCCTGGCAGGCTATAGTCCATGGGGTGGCAGAAAAGTCAGACACAACTTAGAAACTAAACAACACCTTCAGTACCTATAACCACAGGACTTTATGGTGACAACCCTGTCAATTATGCCCTTCATCAATATCTTCCCCAGCCCCTCCCTCAGGCTGGCTGCCTGCCCTCTGGATCATCAGGTTTTGCAGCAGGTTGACTTGTCTCATGTCTACATTAAAGCTTTCAGAACGGACAGTCACCTGCTTTCCAGATCCAATATCCCTTGGAGATATTCGGGGTTCAGTTCCAGAATACCAGAATATAGTGAATATCACAATAAAGTCAGTTACTCAAAATTTCTGTTTCCCAGGGTGTATAAAAGTTATGTTTAGACTATACTGTAGCCTAGCAAGTGTGCAGTAGCATTATGCCTGAGAAAACAATGTACAGACCTTAATTAAAAAATAATTTATTGCTAATGGGTGTACCTATGGGTGATTCTTGTTGATGTATGACAGAAACAAAATTCTGAAAAGCAATTCTCTTTCAATTAAAAATTAATTTAATAATAATAATAATTTATTGCAGAAAAACACTATCATCGTAGACTTCAGCAAATAACACTGAAGATTGCTGATCACAGATCACTATAACAAATGTAATGATAGTGAAAAAGTTTGACATATTGTGAGAATTACCAAAAGGTGACACAGACATGGAGTGAGCAAATGCTATTGGAAAAATGGTACCTGGAGACTTTGTCAACTTGCTGACAAAACTTTAATTTGTAAAAAATTAAAAAAAAGTACTATCTGGAAACTTCAATAAAACAAAGTATGCCTGTACCTCTAAAGCAAGCAATAAAGAAACTGATTTAAAAATCAAAGGTTAGAACATTATTTGTTATTTGTGATGATTTGTTGAATTGAAAATCAACCGGTAATCAGAAGCTCTAGAACAAAATATAAGATTTACACCTGGGGTGGATGGAGCACAGAGGACAATTCCCAACTCTGAAGCTGGGGAATGAATGTCTCTTAGTCCCCTAAGGTCTAACCCTGCTGTTCCTAGAAGAGGAGTCAGCAACCACAACCATTTCAGACCAAGATGTAAACAAGTGGCTGAGTTTACATTTCCTGGTGGGACCTCCCTGTGACATCACTGATGACCTAATCAGGGAGCCCTACACTGAAGGTCTCCCAAGACAGGAGTGGGAAGGGTCCCTTCACAGTGAAGGACAAGGTCATCACGGAAAACAAGTCCAGTCATTGCAAAGGTGGGAGGCTCCAAAGAGAACCCTCACATGTCTCTCCTCTCTCCATCTTCCCTGTTCACCCGGATGCTCCGTCTCCACACCCAGACACCAGCATCGACTCCTCTCTCCCCCCTCAGGTCCCACATTCAATTCATCACTTGGATCCTCTTCCTTTCCCCCCCCAAATCCAACCATCTCCCCATTTCCACTGCAGGCACCTTAGTCTCAGCCACAAACAGTCAAGAGCGGGCACAATTGTGAGAGAGGGGGGACACTGCATGTGGAGAATGAGGACCGTCAGTGTGGTTTCAGCTGCATCAGAAGGCTGGGAGCAGAGCGGGACAGAAGTAGGAAGGTGGGCGGGGCCAGGCTGTAAACTGCTTGTTAAAGCGCGTTAGAGATTGGTACACTGATCAACTGAGAAAAATTTGAGGCTACAGAAATTTACCAAGAGATAAGCTTCCCTAGTGGCTCAGATGGTGAAGAATCTGCCTGCAATGTGGGAGACCTTGGTTCCGTCTCTGGGTTGGGAGGATCCCATGGAGTAGGAAATGGCAACCTACTCAGTATTCTTGCCTGGAAAATCCCATGGACAGAGGAGCCTGGCAGGCTACAGTTTATGGGGTCGCAAAGAGTCAGACATGACTGAGCAAGTAACACGCACGAGTTAAGTAAAGCATTAAATAAATTGAACACACTTTGATAACAGCAACAAAGCTGATTGGTTCAGGGGATACAGACATTCACATCTGTGAATGAGGTGCTGAGGGATCAGACTGAGGGCTAACCAGTGGAGAGGCTTTCAAAACTGTCCTTCCTCACTGTTTCCTTAACCAATCACACATTTCAAGGTGACAGTTTTTCTAAGAATTAGATAATAAAAATAATCTGCTACTATTAATACTGGAATACCAAAAACCAAAAATAAAGCTGCAGGGTACATTTAGGAACAAAGAATTTATTTGAACAGACCCCTAACTGAACTGTAGATCAAGCCAACTTTCTGCTGCTGCCTCTAAAGCCTGACAAAGGGCTTGAAACAGGTAAATTTGATAGCATCATTTATTTATTATGGAAGAAGAATGCTTTAGGGTATAGTCTTCAAAATATACAGTGCTAAGAGGTAAGAACAACAAAGCAACAAGAAAAAAGTAGAAATGGAAGTCTACTTTTCCAGTTAGCATTCAAGAGCACAAAATGAGGATCTAAGAATACTGGGTGCTAAAAAAACACTTCTGGAATTTGAGTTACTGTCCTGTAGTCTTGGAATTTAACCTGGTGCCTCATGAAAGTTTGCAGGTAGAGCTGGCTTCCTACTGAGTTGCTCTAGTCTAGACAACTGGCCACACTACTGGAGCCTAGAGCATTTCTGTGGTTGGGGATGCCCCACTTCTATCGTGGGCTCCTTGGAGCTCACTTCTCTGTATGTCCAGCTTGGTGAGTGAGGCTACAGGCACTGCTTCAATGCTGACAGCCTGATATCTTATCTACCCAATGTCCCCACTGATGATCCATCTGACAATGCATGTGAAGTGGGGGCAGGGGGAAGGAGCAATATTCCAGAAACTGTCTAAGAAATCAAAAGAGACAGTTCCAATATCATAAGACATAAGGAAGTTTGGATACTACTGTTTATTGTTGATTATTACCTATTTTGTGTAGACTATCAAAATACCTAAATATATCTTGCATTCTTTAGGGACTGACTTCCCTTGTGGCTCAGAAAGTAAAGAATCTGTCTGCAATGCAGAAGACCTGGGTTCAATAGTTGAGTCGGGAAGATTTCCTGCAGAAAGGAATGGCTACCCACTCCAGTATTCTTGCTTGGAAAATCCCATGGGCAGAGGAGCCTGGCGGGCTACAGTCCATGGAGAGGCAGAGTCAGAAATGACTGAGTGACAAACATATTCTTTTGAGAGTATATGCAGACAAAGGTTTTCCTTTGAGCCATGCCTTCTATATCATTTTATAAAGCCACATTCTATCATTTACTGAAACTCAGTGAGCAGCAGAGGGAAACAACAAAGAAAGAAGATGAAAAGAGATAAGGAATGGAGGGAGGAAGGAAAAGAAAATAAGGAAGGAAATATTAAATAACTGAGAGGAAACAGCCAATCAAATCTGGAGGGAAGATACTAGACAGATATCCAGAGACCAAAGCTTGGAGCCCACCACATGTGCAGTGCCTGGACCTACTGTGTTGGAGACTTGTTAGTTGTTTATCTACAGCCTCTCAACCTTGATAGGCCTTTCTTTTCAAACTCTCACCTGCAATGCACAGGTTCAGTCTCTGCACGTCACATTTCAGAGGCTCTTTGGCAAGCTGGCCTCTTTTTAGGTTGTGCCAGTAAGCGGGCACTAGAGGGAGACTGAAAATGGGACAGAACTAATGTTCTAACGGATTTGGCTGTTCCTGCAGCATCACCTCAGCAGTGGGACCTGACTCCAGCTCCGAGCTTCTATCAGCACATGAAGAAATAGCCCCATCCTGCTTCCTCAGCACATATGACCAGCAACTGGGCAGTGACCTCTCCTTGGAGGCTTGAGCACCAAATGTAGGGCCTCTCTTCTGAGTTCTTAGGTCTAGAGATCTGTCCTAGGATACGGTAGCTGCTTCCTAAAATCATTACCCCACTGTTTCCTTTCACTTTTTCTAGCCTCATATTCTTTTTTTTTTCCATTTATTTTTATTAGTTGGAGGCTAATTACTTTACACCATTGCAGTGGTTTTTATCATACATTGAAATGAATTAGCCATGGATAGCCTCCTATTCTTAAGTAGAAAATTTCCTATATTAAATCCTTTCTGTTTTTCTCAGGAAGCCCTTCCTTCTCATGCACTCCCTCTGACAGCAAGAGCTGAAAAATTCTGCAACCTTAGCCAACAACCTCCTGGCAGTCTAAATGAGAGGTTAATTTTTTGATCAAGGGAATCAAAAAATGCTGAAACAATTGTGATACAGTGAAAATGACTGTGTTCTAGCCTCTTGAAGCTATAACTTGGGTTTGGAATATTTTCATGACTGGATGTCTTAAAAAACAACAATTCAAATATAAGAATATTATATGAAAATATAAGGTTATTAGATATATTATTTAATAGTACATTTTGAAAGTAAAGTTAACTACTCGTGTTATTTTCAGGAATGAGAAGAGAAACCAAGAGAAGATTAAATTACTTGAGGTTTCTATCAAGTTTTACAAGGAAAGATCAGTACAAAATTGAATATAAGTGAAAACAACTGAAACGGTGAGGGTCTTACCAGTATCCGTTTATAGTCAATAATGGTACTCAACCTTTGTGTGATGGTTAGCACAGTGCACTGGGCAAATTTCTCATGAATTTTTTTTTGTATTAACTCATCAGTTCTGGAATCAGAGAAGTTGATATACTTCAGTGAAGACAGGAAATGCAGACTAAAGAGTTAAAAATTAAAAATCAAAGCTTTAACATATAATTTTGTTCCTAAAAAACTAAGTATAAAATGTCTATTTAGAAATTTACTATTTTTCATAAAATGATAGAAAATAATCTTCCCTTGAAATTGCTTGAAACTATCAGAAGTTGGATTTAGAAATCTATCTTTCTTAGGAAGCCTTATAACAATATTAACAGCATATAACTGCCTTGGTTTCTTCCTTTGTTTTTGGTTAATATTATTAAAAGATATCTGTGGGCCAAAGAGAGCATAGAAACATTTTTCAGCATCACTAAATGTTTTCCATTTACTACATTTACAATTTGGATTCCAGCTTTCACAGACCTCAGCTCCATACCTTGGATCCACATTGGATGTGGCTTTGTCAAGAATCAGTATCTGATTTTTCCTGAGAATAGCTCTAGCAAGGCATACTAGTTGTCTCTGTCCAACACTCAAATTCAATCCTGATTCTGCTAATTCAGTATTCATTTCACTAGGAAGAGCTTCAATGGCTTCTTTAAGTTGTACCTGTGGATACAGAAAGAACAGTATTTCAAAAACAAACGGCTGCTGAAGTAGAAAAGTCTCTTAGAATGTTAGAGTTCTGAAGTCCTCATGACTTCTTATGTATCTTACATATACAGCCATGTGATGGCAAAAGCTGTTTCCATTTAGTGTTCACTGAGAAAGATGGTTGGTAGTGTCAAGTCAGGACAGAAAGATCTCAATGTCCCCTAATCCCCAACACATGCCATCCACCAACAACCCCCACCTAGGAATTAGTTCAGAAAGTCTCTCAAAAATTGAAGCTATTTTTTCCAATGTGGTTTAAACAGAAAACCTAAAAGGATCTTTATGGTTGAATCAACTTTACCAAAGTATATTTTGCATAGGAGTTGGTACATTAAAAGGAAACTTTAATAAAAAATTAGAGAAAGTATTGTTCTCTAAAGATATAATCTTATTAACAGTTTATAATTTTTTAACATTTAAAATAATACAAATTTAAACAATGGAAAACTCCATCTAATACATTAGTAATCCTGGGACATTTCTCAAGCTTAGTCTATAAATAGTAGACCAGTCAAGTGCATTTTCTTCAATATCATAAATGTCTTCCAGTAAATGAAAACTCACAAAAAAACAAGATAGAATATTATATCTTATCTCCCCCACAATATGGATATAGGTAATGTTCATACTAATCTATCTTCATAAAATAATACTCATAAGATTAAAAAAACCAAATCTTTAACCACCAAATATAATCTGAAAGTACACTTGGTGGTAGGAGTCAGTTCAACGAATATTCATTTTGGAGAAATATTATGGAGCAAGAAGCAAACTCAGGCTGTATTTAAAGTGAAAGAACAAAGAAATACACTTCAAATTAAGAAACCAACAGACTGATGGCCAATAAGTTATGTGACACACTACAACTTCAGATAACAAAACACCAAGGGTGAATGAGTAGCATTTTCATGATATCCTAAATGCTGGAGCACTTCCATGAATGTGATCCTGAACTGTGCTCCTGATGGAGTCCAATTCCTAGAAAGCAGAATTCTGAGTTAGGATTAAATATGGTATTGGTATTTGGTGACAGCATAAAAGGTGTACAAACTCTAAAGGGTAAGATTTGAATTGTGGTGCAAGTGTTGGTCTTTGTTAAGACAGACACTCTAACTTTGACGAAATAATCTCACACTTACTCCTGAGTTGGATGACATCACATAACTAATCTGGTTTTTTTCTTTTCCTTCAGGTTGTCCATATCTGTTTCGTGACAAATAAGAGTTGTAAGGGCTAGTGTTTTTCATAAAATACTGTTTTCTGAGACACTGCATTTATTTGCATATGAATTAGGAATGGTTATAAGAATAATATGAATATCAAAGCTCTCTATAGTGTAATCATAAAATCAAGGTATACAGTATTATCAGAATGGAAGAAAAGGGCAACAGATGCAGTAGACAATAATAACTAGAAGTTACAACTGGAGAATCTGAACACTTTAGATGATAGTGTAATATTACTGTTTTATTTCTTATTTGAGATAATTGTGTTAGATTATGCAAGAGAATGTCCCTGAAAGGATAGAGATTGTGTCTCTTGATGACTGTGATAGACCCAGAATCTGCAACGATGTCTGTCTAAGAAGCTCTCAGAGATATTTGTCAGTGTGAAGGCAGAAGTGAATCTCATCATATGACATAACTGTTCCTATAAATTAGAAAGTAAATCCACATAGATAGTTTACATATAGCACTATTATTACATGTAAAAGGATTATATTCTTATAACAATTAACTGGCTCCAGAATATCACATCACACTGCAAACTGTGGAAAGCATATAAAAAGTTATAATTTAAGGAAAATGGAGCAAATACTAATCAAAACTATACATCTCAATATGAAATAATTCAGATCATTTTTGAGGTTGGGAAAATAATGGAATATAGCAAAATTGAAAAACAATAAACTGAACTTATAAGGTACCCTATTTCTGTCATCATAAACATTTTTAAAGTAACCCACTGTGTAGTGTATCTAGTAGATGCCAACACCTCTCATAGGAGGTTAACACAGCTGTCAGATGGTTCCCACATTTCGTGGAACCTTCTTACTTCTCAGAAAGAAAGGCTAGTATGGGCTGGAAGGAGACAGGGAAATGCAATCAACAGATGGGGAAGAGCTTTTACTAGAGCAGGGCCAGCAGTAAAGGAAGTCAGGGGGAACCCGTTCACCTAATACAAGGCCCCGGGAAATGGACATGTGAGCTGTCCCACAGCAAGGACTGAAGCACGTGGTTCCTGATGCACAGGCTGCTGATGCCCAGATTTCTGTATCTTGGTTCCCTGTGTGATGAGACACACTTGTGTCTTAACAGAGATACTATCAATGCTGGATTTGTGTAACACAAAATTTTTTTAAGAAATAAGCCAAAAAAAAAAAAAGAAAGAAGCCACACTTCTCTAAAATGAAGCAATAAACCAAATATTTAGTACCTATTTATCAAGTGCTACTTTTTAAAACCAAAAGACAGCTAGGTCCCATGAGAGATTAGAAGTCTGTCTACAGTTTAGAAATCTAGTTTCTGCCATCAGTAGAATCAATTTACAAAACTAGGGCTAATACACAAAATAGTTAGTATTACAATATACAAACCAACAATGACATAATAGTCAAATTTTTTTCATGTAAGAGTAGGGAAATTCAGTGAAGTAGGGCAAGGGGAAATATGACACAAATAACAGGAACTCCTCTAGAAATTAACATATCCATATAAAAACTGAGCCAAAGCTCCAGGGTTCTGTTACCTGCATTCATGCTGCAGCATTAAAATGATATAATCCTCAATCATCATCACATTCCAACTAAATAATTTACTTTTACAAACACTTTCTTATGGAACTTCATAGCATTTTATTGGAATGATCTTGTTTATCTTTCAGTTAATAATGAAAAACTAGTGTCTCCACTTATATAGCCCCTAAGGCCAGAGGAATAAAATGAACATTGGAGGGTAATTAGGGTAATTAATTTACTAGGTCACTCATAGAATTTGATCCCACAGTTTTAATGTCTAGTTTAATGCTCTGTTAAGGACAAAATAATGTATCTAGCTGCTTGGGGTTCTATAGAAAAAGCTAAAATGAAAACATGAGGAATTATATTGTTGGTTTTCATTATCAATACACACATCACACATTTTAGGTGTACCCATCTCATCACTGTTCTCCTAGAAAGTAAACAGTTAAAATGATAAGCTTCCCTTAATTACTTGTAATGCTATGAATGTACACACACAGATACTGATGCTAACAAGTTAATAACATTACATAAATTACCTCTTCTAAGACATTCCACAGTTCCTCCTCCAAATACTCATTAAAGGGATCCAAATTTTTCCTCATTGTTCCAATGAATAAAACAGGTTCCTAAATACCACAAAATAGTGAACATTAGTACCTTAATCTCTTTTCATTTTAAACTAATGCTTATAGAAAAGAATGAAAATACAAAATATCAAAATTCACTGCAATTATTAATATTAAAGTTACAAATGTATGTTTACAAAACAGTATCTCTAAAATAATTTTCCATTGTACAAAGTGTGCCACAAAAAATCCTCTGGACTATTAAACATTAACCGAAGAAAGTGTTTAAGAAGTATTTTCATCTTAAGAAAAAATAAATGAAGAAAAAAAGGAAAATTTTATTTTTTGAAAAAAGTTGCCATTCTGATAATAAATATCTGCTTAAACACACACACACAAACTGACATTATAATCACATGAGAAAGTTTACATCAAGAGCTGCATAAATTAACTGTCAATCCTGGTGTGACTGGGAAATATCAACTGCATGATTAGTTGAAGTCTGTGCTTCAAAGCAAAACCATTCAAATTTATACTTTGGCAATGAAGAATAAACTCGGCTATTTTCTCCATTGGTCAGACTGTCTTGTAGGGTATGGAATCTCTCTCCAGGTATGAATGGAACATCCCCGCACGTTCAAAGAGAACGCCAGCTCCTGGGGCCTGAAGCACCTCTGTCAATGGAGAGATCACCTCTGACTCTACATCAGCTGGACCCCACATTCTCTCACCTGTGTGTCAGGATGACCTGCCTCACAGAACCTCATTGCTAACTGCAAGGCCAGGAGGACCTGGAAACCCACTGTGACGTGAGCCATAACAGAATTATTTAAATAGCTTTTCCTATTCATCTACCAATTCATCATCAGGAGGAGCCACAAGTAAATTACACTGGAAACACACCTCCCCAGTTTCAAGAGAGAATCTTGTACATAAGCTCATGTAGACCATTTACATTTTCTTCTGGAAGGCTCTCATAAGCCAGGTCATAAGAATATGGACAGCAGAGAAGAGCCCAATAGGCTCCTTTCAGTGAAGGGGGCAGAGCAAGGGGAGGCACATGTGTAGGAACAAGAGGAGACCTGACTCTTCCACAACTGCCCGGAACTGCTCCAGGAAATCACCATGTTCAAATCCCGCCTGGCCTTGGGGCTTGACTTTCCTTCTAACTTCATAAAAGCCTGAGAAGAAAGATGAAGAAGACAGATATTTCTCTTCCCTAGTCATGATGAAGAATGACACTCAGAGAGCCTCCCATATCTTCTTTCCCAATTGTCTCAGTTTTTAGTCTAGTGATTGCGAAATGCGTGCAGAAGGCACAGGACAGTGAGCCACCAAAAGAGATACATCCCTAAGAAAATCCAAAGTTAAAAATACACTATGTAGGGAGCTCCATTTGCACAAAGTTGATTAAGTGACCAATAAGCTACAAAGCATTGAAAGTCACCAGTCTTACAACATTTCAAGATGATTACTGAATTGAACTGAAAAATCCACAGACTGAAATTTAAAGTTTCCCTTAAAACTCTTGAATTTAGAAACAAAGATTAACAACCATCTAAGCAATAGTAAGAGTTTCTTGTCAGGAGAATAACCATCATTGTACCTTATATTTTTATAAAAACATTTTACTCTTTTTAATTTTCAACCCTAAGATTCCCCCATGCAGGCTATTTCTCATCCTTTAGCTGTATCTGTGAAGTTTACACAAACAACCGGCAAGGTGAGGGCAGGCTGGTCCCCAGAATTCCCCACCGTTCTCTTCTCCATCTTCCCTCCATTATCCAGGTCCTTTCAAGTAAGCAGGTACTCCCTGAATATAATCTCAACAGGTGTTCTTCCTGGGGAATATACTTAACTACTTCAGATCTTGAGCACAAAGGACGCATACACTTCAACTACCTGTTGTGTTTAAGGAAATTATTTAGGAAAAGCTTTCACTTTTGCTTGTTCCTGAAACTTTGAATACAAATTGAGGAGTACTTCTTAAGAACACAGTATTCATCTTTGAAAGTTCCCCCAAGGACTGACGGTCTAGGTCCCCACTTCCCTGTCTCTGGTTCCTACCCAGGTCCTTGCTGCTATCACATCTCCCCCAGTTCTGATCTGTTCATGGCAGGATCAACAGCGATGGGGATAAGCCTGGGGGAGAGAGAGATGACCCCAGAAGCTTGCTGCTGTTCCCAGGGTCATGGGTAACAGGGATTCAAAATAAATTTGAAGTCAGACAGGAAGATGATATGGGCCTGGCTTACCTAAGTGGGGCAACTCAAAGAAACAGCACTGGGCTCCCCCTTCTGCAGAGTCTGCTCTCAGCTTCCTAGGTTCCTAAACCAAGGTGTTGACACACAGCACCACTGCTTGCTACTCATTTGAAGGGAAGAGAGGTGTACATTTTCTGTACACAGACAAGTTAACTTCAAGTAACCAAATCAATAGACTTTTTCCATCTCTGAGCCAACAAGACACTGTAAAGACAAAGGGCTCTTGGCTGGGGAGTGGTAGGATTTTGAACATCTTCTCCTGACACTTATTAGCCCATAACACATAAATGAAAAAACCCATTTCAAAACTGATATTCTCCAAATGAGACTCAAAACAGGAGGAGTCATATCTTCTGACTTTACTAAACTTTTGTTATGTTTTGGAGAAAATATCTCATGAGAACATCATTCAGTTTAACTAACATTTATTGAAAACAAAATAAATTTGGAGTCAAACAGTTCTAAGTTCTGATTCAACTTCTCATTAGTTATTAGACTCAGGGTAAATTATTTATCTTCCAAGACAGTTCCATTACTGGAAACTAGGGTCAGCCTTGCAAGGTTGCTGTGACAATCTGAAACAACAATAAAGTTCCTGATGTGATGCTAACATGGTCCAGGAGCCCAGCCCAACAGGGGGACAGGCAGGGACAGTGTTTGTCAAACTTCAGACGTAGTCGGTGGATGATGAAATTAATTTTGTGCATTGTGATCATCATTTTGTCTTTTATATGAAGTAGAATAGAACTGGCATCACAGAAAATATCAGAGCACAGAGCAATAGTAATGTTGTTTTGTGACATTTTTGTTCCTCTGTGTATGTGTGTGTGTGTGTGTGTATGTTTGTGTGTGTGCATGCACAGTGAAATCATGATATGAAGCAGTTCTATCAAGGACCACAGTCAACAGCCACCTGAATTCTTGCACAAGCATAGTAATTTGCTTCTCAGCCTCTGGAGTTGGGAATCTCTTTAAATTTACTTTGAACCCTATTAGTATATTTTGGAAATTAATACATTGTTGATCACGTCATTTGCAAATATTTTCTTCTTTTCCATAGGTTGTATTTTTGGTTTTTTTTAATGACTTCCTTTGTGCTATAAATACTTTTAAATTTAACCAGGTCACATTTGTTTATTTTTGCTTTTGCCTCCATTACTTTAGGGGTCAGATCCAAAAAAATAGTGCTGTGATTTATGTCAAAGAGTATTCTGCCTGTTTTCCTCTAAGATCTTGTCTTACTAAGTAAGTATCTTGTCTTACAGGTCTTTGCTCATTTATTCATTTTTACTTTATTTTTTATATGGTATTAGAGAATGTTCTAATCATTTCTTTTACATGCAGTCATGCAGATTTCCCCACACTATTTATTGAAAAGTCTGTCTTTTCTTTATTACATATTGTTACCTCTTTTGTCTTAGATTAATTGACCATAAGTGCATGAGTTTATTTCTGGGTTTTCTATCTTCTTCCATTAATCTGTGTGTCTAGTTTCTAAGATAGTAACATACTTTTTCCATTACTGCAACTTTGTTGTATAATCTGAAATCAGGGACTGTGATTCCTCCAGCTGTGTTCTTCTTTCTAAAGATTGTTTTGGCTATTTGCGATCTTTTCTGTTTCCATATAAATTAAAAAAAATTCTTTGTTCTAGTTTTGTGAAAAATGCCACTAGCAATTTGATAGAGATTTCATTGACTCTGTAAATTATCTTGGGTAGTGTGGTTATTTTTAACAATATTGAATCTTTCAATCCAAGAATACAGTTTATCTTTTCATCTGTTTGTATAGTCTTCAATTACTTTCATCAGTGTCTTACAGGTTTTTTTATACAGGCCTTTTACCTCCTTAGGTAGGTTTATTCTGAATTTTTTTTTCCTTTGATGTGATGTCAATGGGATTGTTTCCTTAATTTCTCTTTCTGATACTTTGTTTCTAGTCTATATAAATACAGTCAATATCTGTATAAACAACAGCTTATACAGCTCAATATCAAAGAACCAAACAACCTAATAAAAAATGTGAGGAAGACTTAAATAGACATTTCTCCAAAGACATACATATGGTCAACAGACCCATGAAAAGATACTCAGCATCACTAATTATTTAGTTAAGTCGCTCAGTCATGTCTGACTCTTTGCAACCCCATGAACTGCAGCATGCCAGGCTTCCCTATCCATCACCAACTTTCAGAGCTTGCTCAAAATCATGTCCATCGAGTTGGTGATGCCATCCAACCATCTCATCCTCTGACGTCTCCTTCTCCTCCCGCCTTTAATTTTTCCCAACATCAGGGTCTTTTCTAAGGAGTCAGTTCTTCCCATCAGGAGGCCAAAGTATTGGAGCTTCAGCTTCAGCATCAGTCCTTCCAATGAATATTCAGGACTGATTTCCTTTAGGATTGACTGGTTTGATCTCCTTACAGTCCAAGGGGCTCTTAAGAGTATTCTTGAACACCACAGTTCAAAAGCATCAATTCTTCAGTGCCCAGCTTTCTTTATAGCCACTAATTAGTAGAGAAATGCAGATCAAAGCTACAATGAAGTATCACCTCACACTGGTTAGAATGACCATCATTTAAAGTCTACAAATAATAAATGCTAGAGAGGGTGTGGAGGAAAGGGGACCCTCCTACACTGATGGTGGGAATGTAAATTGGTACAGCTGTTATGGAAAACAATACAGAGGTTCCTTAAGAAATTGAAAAAGAGTTACTGGGTGATCCAGCAGTTCCCCTCCTCAGCAAATATCTGGAAAACATAAAAACCCTAATTCAAAAAGATACATGCACCACAG